CTGAGGGTTTGGATCAAGGAGGGGGTTTATATAGGGAAGATTAGTGGAGAGAAAAGGAGAGCAAGTTAGTTAATGAGTAGGAAGGTAGGCAGTATAGAAACATTTAGAATCTGGTGGAATTGTTAGAAGTTAGTAAGACGGGGGAAGTAAGTCGAAATATCAGGAATTAGTGAGAGGAGGGGAATGGCATAATTATAGGGTTACAAATAAGACACAACAAAAGTATCTGAATACATACAATCACCGAAAAAACCCCAATGAAAGCAATTTTACTACTGGAATTAATAGCGAACTAAAAACATTTACACTGTTAAAACATGCACTACTTTCGTAGACTGTACCGCTTATGAAAAAGAAAAAACGAACTCGATTCTCGGCAACAGTGGCAAAGAGCGGATCCTCCTCGAGGTAGGGATTAAAAGCAACACCATAGATAGTCTTCCTGTGCCCCTCCTAAAACAAACATAAATGAGTAAGTTGCAGTATTACACTGAGTAACTCACAGGGTTTACTAACGAAAGGCAAAAATTCGTGGGAATGGGCGCAGAGTTTCAGGAACGAATGAGTAGCAACGATTTGCTGACAGCGAAGATCTGAGCATTAGCTTACAAAAACAGTGCTGAGGTGTCTGAAGGGAGCTTTTGGTGAACATCTCAGAGCGGCTGACGATAACTTCGTTACCGGCGGCCTTCTAGCTGGTGGCGACTTCGTCGAGTTTCCGATTGCCTAAAAGCACTTATTTTACCGATGCGCAATTCATGTAACAAAAGCTTTACTTCTCGTGAATCATCGGTTTTCTATAATTTTAGCATTTCAGAAAAACCACACCGCAAAAAAAGGAATGAAAAACGATGCACTATTTAATGAGTTCTTAACTCCGAGTGGGTGCTCCTTCATACAGCTGTCTTGCTGAATGAAGTTACTGAACCCCCAGCATACAAAAGAGAATATACATATATACACGGACACATATACACAAATGCACACAAACACCTCACATACAGCCCATATACAAATAAATAGCAGCGCGCACCAGAGTAGCCGGTGCGATCATGCGTTTTGTGCAATTCAGCCCATCGAACGATTGCCTATTAATGATTTTCATTGACTTTGTACTATTGTCTATGCAAAAATAGTTCAACAATTGTGAAATAGTTAAAAATTTCATGCACCAGCGCATGAAAGCTGAATTGAAAACCTTGAAGGGTGAATATCTTTTTGTGATTCCCGAGTTAATAGTTTACCCGCCAAAATTTTCATGAGGCCGTAGGTGATACTCAAGAGCGCGGGATCGCTGAATTTGAATGGGCAAGGTTGAGAGTGGGCAGGGAGTCATTACCCTAAAATTTCAGCTTCCTAGACTCCGCGGTTCCCGAAATAATTTACCCGCAAGCCTTTAGGTGATACCCAAGAGCGCGGGAACACTGATTTTTGAATAGGCAAGGTTGAGCGTGGGCAGGGGTCATTACCCTAAAATTTCAGCCTCCTAGACTCCGTGGGACCCGAGACATTAACTCACCCATAAAAAACTTTCACAGGGCCGTACGTGTTATCCGCAGGTACGGGAAGGCTGAATTTAAAATTGCCGCGTCACCCCTGGCGTGGAACACTATACCAAAATTCCAGTCGCCTAGCTTTTGTGGTTTCCGAGTTGAAAGTGCGGGACAAAATGTGGGGGACACACACAGACAACCCCGTGGCAATATGGGTTTTGTAATGCTGTTACACAGCATAAAACGCATAAAAAAGTGAAGAGTAGCCGGAGGGGGGAGGGAAAGAATGTATTAAAACGAAGCATACAAAAAGAAACATTGAAAAATTTCGAGGAGGTAGACACTTACATGGCGAACGTAGTTGTCATTTTTCGATTTCTTTGATAGCGGTTCCATTTGATTTTTACAGTGCTATAAAATGGATATGTTAAAACTAGCAGAACCAGAATAAGCAATGATACGTCAACTGGTCTGTCAGCTGAATAACTGCGCAAGCAAGGTAAGCATCCCAGGGTCCTCCGGGAAAAGGTACCAACATTACCAATTTTGGCTGGACTTTCTTTTCATTTTAATATTTTGTTAAGGATCGAACGATTTCGAAACAGAATTTCCCTCCCGATCTTCTCATCCTGAAGAAATCTGAACTTCTATGCCGATATAAACTGATTATGCGCTTAGACTACGCAGGAATCAATCAAACCAGATGCATATTCGCATAACGTAGCAGTTGGGACACAATAAAGTTTTCGCGTACAGCACAACCAATGTCACTTTCGGGAATCTACCGTGATTAACAGTGAAGAAGTAGTCTACATTCTTGCTGTACACGGTACATATGCAAACAGGACCTTGGCATTGTATTTCAAAGTCTAGGAAGAAAAAAAAACTGTGGTTCTGGAATGTATAAGCCAAGGGTGGGCCCAAAAATGTCTCCGGATATAATAGTGGCTTTTGGGAAGCCAACGAGAATGTCTCCAATATAATGGAATAGGTGTCGGCGGATGTTAGGACTTTTGCGCAAAAAAAAAAAAAAATGGTGTTCCATAACTGATTTGGTAAAGTCGGCAATATCAGGACTAGAAGTGTCGCCCACACGCATCCCATAAGTCTGCCGAAATATGTACCCGTTAAATCTAAGTCTCTTCGAGAACGATATGCGGCATCGCTTTGATCTTTTTTTTTGTGGTGTAAAATGGGGGAATACCAGTTACTTCTGTACCAGACTTGACTTGGACTGAAAGCCATGTCTTCTTTTCCAGCATTAGTGAAGCGCAGATCAAGTATAAATCACATAAACATATGCAAAAACACCCAGTGTACGAAGATAGACAGACAAAGATACACACACACACACACACACACGCACACTCACACATAAAACACAAACACACTCAAAGGCTATAAACAAAGATGCACATGCAAACACAGACACACTTAAACACACGCACAAAACACAAACACACACAAACAAAGACTGTAAACACAGATGCACACGCATACACGGACACATAAACACAGAGACACACTGAAACACACACATACATAACAAACACACACACACAAAACAATACAAGCACAGATAAATATAAACAAACACACACAAACAAAAACAAAGGCTATAGCACACAGATGCACATGCATACACAGACACACAAACACAGATACACTCAAACACATGCATACATGCATAAACAACAAACACAAACATATACACACAGAAACAATACAAGCACAGATAAATATATATAAAAAAAAAAAAACATATACACAAACAAACACAGACATACACACCCACAGATACTGTACCGTCAAGTTTTACACACGCATACATACATACACAACAAACACAAAAATACGCACACACAGAAACAATACAAGCACAGACACATATAAACAAACACATACACAAACAAACACAGACATACACACCTTATCTACAGGTATCTACAGGTGTCGTCAAGTTTTACACACTCAAACACACGCACACATACATACACAACACACACACATAAAAACGATATAAGCACAGACACATGTAAGCAAACATATACATAAACAAACACAGACATACACACCTATAGCTATTGTGCCGCCAAGTTTTAAGCTACATAACCATCGTATTTTAGCAGCTGGAAGATTCAAACAAACAGATACATAGATGGATACGGCTCGGAACACATGGCAAAAGTTAATATGGTTCTAATTTTCGCATTTTCTGTCTTTGAAAAGCAACAACTCACCTCAGCAGGTGCCAATGCGCCAGAAGAGGAGCACTGATTGCCCGTTCGATCGTCTTCATCCGAAGCGGACGAGGTCGATCTGGTTGATGACATTGACTTCAGGCGATCAGCCCAGAACTGAAGCCGCGCACGCAGATTCTGGAAC